TGTGGAATGTAGAGATCCATCCAAAAGTCTACCCAATTGCATTTTGATATTTCAATATTGACTTGTTGAAGAAGTCCATCTTCGAATGAATTTTTTAGATTCTCTCAATACTTCTATCTCAGTTTCCATTATAACGATATATGAAAATCTTACGGCAAATATGACCGAGCCGTTGTGGCGCCTACGTATCCCGTTAAAGAAGGAATCAAGTCAAACGTAGTTCCCCTCAAAGGTTAACAATAATAAGAAACATACAAAGAAACTGATCGAGGCTGAGATAGGACGCCTACGTATCTTATTATTGAGAATTCAGGTCGAACGTAGTTCAAAGTAAAAAGAGAATATTGAAAGTATATAAAGGGTTGATCGAAGCCGACATAGGCCGCCTGCGTATCTCATTTTTGAGAATTCAAGTCAAACGTAGTTCATTACAAAAATATGCGATAAAAAGGAAACAAAGAGATTAAATATGCTTTTCAAAATAAAGATAACAATAACTTCATATGCAAAATTTTGATCGATGCTGGACATTTCTTTTCGACCATTGATGACGAATGTCTTCCAAATGACTTAGTTCAAAAATATCTTGTACGCACTCTTAAGCATTTAATATGTTATACCATGAGGTGGTTTTCTCAATATTGATTAAATTATTGTTGATCATGTTTTGTATCTTGTGCTTCAAGGTCGAACAATTCTCTGTGTCGTGTCCAATGGCTCCTGAATGATAAGCACATCTGTGGTCAGCCCTGTAAAATCTTCCCAAAGAATTGGCTTGTCTTCCTTTTATAGGATGGAGCATTCCCATTGCTTTCAACCTTACATAAAGTTGAGTTTGAGATTCCCTTAATGGTGTAAACAATTTAGGAGTCTTCCTAAAGTTTATTCGGGGAAATTTTTTCTGATCAACATTATGATTTGGATATTTCCTTTAGGAAGATGACCGCATATAGGTAGTCGTGACCGTACCTACCGCCTATGTTTTTCCTTTTGATGTATCCATATCATTTGTTCTGGTAGCTTTTCCATTAACTCGCAATGCGGTAAAGTTTGTGACTCTTCCGGTCTTGAAACCATCTTCCAAAGTTTCTCCCACTTTGACGATCTCGATAATTTTTTGTCCATCATGCACAACATTCTTTCATAGTACTCAGGCTCTTCAATTCGAATGAACATTTCGGTGCTCTCACGTTCGGACATGGGAGGTTGAACTCTTGCGGCGTCCTTTCTCCAAAGAAGCACGTATTCTCGATAATTTTCTATAGACTTCTATTTGATCTTCTCCAAGTAGTAGCAATCTGGGGCAGCTCCTACATTATGTCCAAATCTTTCCGTGAAATCTTTTGCCAGTGCATTCCAACTTAACCATTGTTTCAGTTCTTGTGATGTAAGCCACTCCACAGCTTATCCACTTAGACTTCGACTGAAGAGACGCATCAACAATGCTTCATTTTTACCAACTCCCACGAGTTGATCACAATAAACGTTCATATGTGCTAGAGGATTGCTAATTCCATTAAAAGTGACGAACTTTGGCACTTTAAACCCTTCCATAAGATCCAAATTTGGACGAATGCATAGAGTTTTATAATTCAGCCCCCCCTTCTGAATCATAATCAAGTTCTTTTATCGCTTTCACAATCTCTCCTTTATAATCGGCTTAGTATTTTCCTCTTTGGACATTCACTCCTTCTCCTTCTCTTCATAGTGGTCAAGTTTGGAATAGGCAGTATAGTGAAGATGTTGTTCGGCGTGTCCTGGAATATCAAAAGTTACTTTTGGAGGTAGGGGTTGAGCATTTGATTGATTTTGAGTGCCTTTTGCAGGGGTCTTGTATATGAAAGGGGGTGTTTGACGATTCTTAACATTTAAGCTCTGAAATGGATGGAGTATTTGAGAGTTATTTGCATTTTATTTTTGAAGAGGATGAAAAATTTGAGAGTTGGGATTCAAGCTTTGAAGAGGAGGCAGTGTTTGGTATGAAGTGTTGGTCTGATGAAGATTTGACGCGGTTAGGTCGATGGTGAAAGGATTTTGAGTAGGGTTGGAGGGTGGGTAATTTAGGACATGTTCCGAATTTTAAGTCAGAGGAGGAAAATGAAGTGGAAGTCTTCCATTGCCTAGAGTGTTGACATCGATAGTCGGAATTGACAAATCTTATTTAAAAAAAAGTTCAACCCTTAACTCAGCAATGTGTTGCATCAAGTGCGTAATTCACTCATATTGTTCAACGGCAGGCGGTTAAACTATAGCAACTTCATTCAGGTTGGTATTCTCATTATTCTGAGTCATTATCTTCTCTCTTTCAACAAATTTCGATTAGGAAAGTAATCTTTGAAAACTTTGATGTTCAACAACTAATCAACACAAATCAGTATTGAGTACCTTAGAAGGAAAAATAACTCAAAGGCAAATGTGTTAGTTTGTGTAGGTAGTAGGTGATACAAAATATCACACACAAATCTGTAAGCACACAAGAGTCGCTTCATTTGAAGAAAGACTAGCCCACATATATAAAGAAATGATTAGATAGACAGGAATTTGTCTATCTGATTTTTAGTTTTGTGAGTCAAAAATGTCGACCTGAATCGAGACAAAGTCGATTGAATATTTTATTGTCGTACTTCTGATTTTTGACTGATATGTAACTCTAGTTTCTTTGTAAGAGTTGAAAAAGATAAAATTTCTCAAAATGGGGGTCGAACCTTGGAAGGCTGCCTATGTATCTCACTAGGAGAATTTAGGTCCTACATATTTCGACCCTTGAATCATTTTTCTATTTGAGACAACGAATATTTTTTCTGATATGAGAGTAAAATTAAAAAAATGAAGTTTGAATTTGGTTATGAAACTGAAGACTCGAAGAGTATTTGGACGCACTTTAGATAGTGACTTGATATTTGTGCTTAGGGTTCTAAAACAATTTGAAGAAGAATGAGCTAGAATATCTCCAGATAAAGTAACATATTGATATAAGCAGTTATAACACATAAACAAATATTACGCGTTCTAAACAGATATGTGACCCTTTTGTGCCAAGGGTAGGCCTAGAGATTTGAGGGATGTATACGTCATTTGAAACATTTCATTGCCCCAAAGCTCAAATTTATACAAATTTATGAATGAAGCTGAATGGGGATACATAATAGGGAAAATGGACTACAAAATAATCAGTCTCACGCAAGGGTACGACCCTAAACTATGCTTCCACGAATGATTCTTATTCTTTCTTGATTTTTTTGTCATCTTTGGGTGCCAATGTATTTCGATGGACTAGTAGCTTGTGAAACTCTTTTTTTAGCAGTAATCCTTACCCCCTTAGACAATAATTTTTCAAACAACGTATACATCCTTCAAATTTAAACACATAAGTATGAACGTCCGTTTAGGTCGTGGGCCGTTTTGGACTCATGGTGGTCTTCTAATGGGCTCAACACGCTTTAGATGTTGGGTCATCTTAGTTCAAATGCTCCTAAATTTCGGATTTGGTTTAGCTCTATCCTATTTGACTAAGAGTGGCTTTGAAAAGACCGGGGACCCGAACGGACAATTTTGGTTGGAACTCGCGACAACCATTGGACGCAGGACGAACCAATAAATTAATGCTAATTCTGGAAAAAGGTTGAGTATAGAAAAGTCCGGTTGCGGTTCCGCAACCCGTCCTTTAATATACTATACAATATATATCAAAATATGCCATGAAATACAATGCCAATAATATAATTAAAACATATTAGTCACAAATAAGCAATTCAATAATTACAATTAGTCAAATAGTCAAATCCTTTTGGTTAGAACTTAATTAATCCCCAGCTAAGTTGTCGTTTCATATATATTAAAAGAAAAAAAACTATGTTTGAAACATTGATTAATCTTATGATTTACAAGAAATTGACTTTCCGAATTAATAGAGTGGACACTTAATTTTTAATAACAAATCAAGAAAAACTTATAATTATTCTCAAAAGATTTGAACAGATAAAATTAGTTGAAAGAAAGGTTCGAAGTTCAAATATACATTCCAAGAAGGTGTTAGGCCCTCGGAATGTCCGCTAACTTGCGGTTGACTAGCGATTTGACTAAAAATGGTTTAGACTTAAACTTTCCAACTTTGACTAAGTAAAGTTCATTTTTAATTATTTAAATATTATTATTATTAATTGATTAATTATTTTTAGGGAGAAGAGGGAGATCATTTAAAAAGGGTAGTGACCTAAGGTGGTTGATAAGACTAATAAAATAAAAGCTAAGTGACTCGTACAAAACAAATATTTAAATATTTTTATTTATTTATTTTCAATATAAAGAAAACTGGAAATCTTGGGTTTTGATTAAATTAAGCCATGAAATAAACAAAGTTACTTAAAATGGCAACTTTCACATATAGTAAATAAAAAATTCATATTTGTATGCTATAGCAAAGTTTGCATAATTGCGCTCCAAGCAAAAATAGAAACTGTATAATTCTCTATACATATACAGTTGAACCAAATTGTATAAAACGAAGTGTATAAGCCAGAAAGAGAGACACTTGGACAGAGAACTGTATAAAAATAAAGTATATAAAATGAATTGTATTATTATAAGTGTATAGAACGATTATATAGAATTTGAATTTGTATAAAATGAGAAAGAGAGAAAGACAAAAGAGACTTGACAAAGAATATACAATTGAATCGAATTGTATAAAACGAGAAAGAGAGAAATTAGATAAAATTTGAAAATTGTATTTAACGAGAAAGAGAGAAAGGAAAAAGAAACTGGAAAGGGGAGTATTTTTATTGTATAATTATAAGTGTATAAGACGAAAATATATGTACTTGCATGTGTATATACAATTTTCTCACGCTTTATACAAACAGACACGCAATTTATACATTTTGCTTCTACAGAAATGCAATTTATACATTTCGCTTCTGTTTGTATAAGTGAGAAAGGCGAGGGTGGCGAGCGAGATTTGGGAGAGCGGCGAGCGAGATCTTGAAGAGGGGAGAGAGGGGAACAAAAATATATGTATTTATACAATTTTCTCTGCTTTATACAATTAGAAACATTTTTTATAAACTTAAGATTGCTATTTTATACAATTTTCTCTACTTAAAACAATACAAATAAGAGTAAAAGGGAAGAGAGTATTAAATTTGGGCTTTAGGCCCAAATCTTTATAACCTGTCCTAAATCTAAGTAATCCAAAATGGATCTTGACCTACTTAGACCTGTTGGGCTTTCTGGAATTTCCTTTGGGCTTCTGGCCCTATATTCCTTATTTTCCACACTTAAAATATGTTTATACACCAAACGTATATGGATGTATACGATATGTATTTCAACTCGTTTCCGTGTATATTGGGATGTATGCTGAATGTATGCTGCCCATTTCAGACTACCATCACCTGTTTTGTCAGTTCAGACCTGTATATAATGATTCTTTCTGTGTATACTTGGGTATATAATTTTCTAATTCAAGTATACTACCTCTTTTGGGATTTTTAGAGACCTGTAAAATTAATTTCCAGCCTACATTTATCGACCTCAACCTGTACATCAATTTTGCAGCTTGCTGAAGGGGCTGACTCGAAGGAAAAAGGGGATTTAGGGCCTTTATGGCCCATCCGAAATATGAGGGAAGAAGATTGGATTCCATGAGGACTCGAGTGGTATCACATGCAACAAAAACGAAATTAACAAATCAATTTCGTCAAAGTCTAACAAAGATGTGGTTTAAACAATCAAGTAGCATAATTAAATAGTATTAAGAGCAATGAAGGATCTCAATATAAACAAGAAAGTAACACTAAAACTTATCATTAACAAAGTCAACTCTTTAGTCTACTAAGCAACTTGTTTCAAATGCAAAACATTATTTACCATCATTCTAGGAAGTAGAACACATAAGAAAAGTGAAGAACCCACATTACAAACTTTGATTTGAAGACTACACTCATAGCATAAAAAAAGAACTTATAACAGAATATGACAATTAATGATTTTAAGCATGCTTGAGTATGTTCTTCAAGCTACATACTATAGAAAAGTAAAATGATAGTCATAACACATGATATAACCATATATACATAGAAGATATACATGAATACATCATAAGCCTATTAAAATGGGCCACTTAAACATCCTAATCCACTGATATGTTAGAGTTGTAAAAGAACAATGTTTCAACTTCATTAAAATAACCAGAGAGAGACCACTGTACTAGCATATTAAGCATGATTCAGCTAAATGACTTCACTGTGTAAGGAAAAATAAATGCACATTTAAGTATTTTGGATTTCTAACCGAGATAAATTAAACGCATAATATAACGATTAACGTAAGTGAAGAAGGGACTATTACCTTTTTCCGAGCAGCTGAACTTAGACTGAATGAGCAGAGACAGCAAGCTTCCACCATCGAAACAAAACTCCGAGAAGTTCGATAAAGAAAACAGAAGCGAACCAGTAAAAAGAGGGAGTAAAACCTGGATTTTTCAATCTATTTTGCAACCTATTTCCTAAGTATTCTTATATAAATGTATATGACTAATAATTTCTCTACTTTTCTCTCTATTGTTGGCTCTTATCCAACTTTTACAAGTTACCTGCAACGTCTATTTTGTCTCACTTTTTTTCCATTTTCGTAACCCTCTCACTCTCTCTTTTTTTTCCCTTCACAAAGAGAAAGATGAAGGTATTTATATAATTAAATTAGGGCAGAAAATAGGAGGAAATTCGGGATGGAATTTCAACAAATTCAAATTCGAAATGGAGGATAAGGTTTCCATCTTAGAACGAGTACCAATTTCCAACCGAAATATGAAGGGAGTCTTCCGATCTTGAACAAGGACATGCGAGGCACCAAGATGATAACACATAGAAAATCCAACAACGATCCTTGTACGAAGATAGACACGCGCGAGTGACATGGACTGCTGGGCTGCGTTTTGCGGTAGCTGGGCTGCTGGTTCGCGATTTGAGTCGCTGGAATCGATGGATCACGTTTCTAGATTAGATTTTGTTGTGTGAAAATGAAAAAGAAAGAGGTGGGGTCGTTTGCTTGCTGTAATATATTGTTAATGGGGTTGGACTGATTTGGATATTGAAAAGTGGGTTGGTTATTGTATAAAAAAGTGGGCTAAAAGTTGGGAATGTTGTAGCAAAACCCAAACTTAGTCTCAAATGGGTTTAAGGGATTGGATAATGAATTAATATAAATTAACCAATTTCGATATTCAAGTCTCAAAGAAGACGTTGAAACTTTCAACCGATGTCTTTTGGATGAAAAATGGGTCCCACTTTTAAACTTCATTCAAGCCAAATTTCATAAAGTAGCTTGGAATGAGCTTGGAAGCCTCGAAACCCTAACCAAAGGTTCTTGTAGACCAAACTCATTGTTCTAGATCTAACAAAGTTATTATAATTTTATTTCGTGGTCATTTACCTAAAGTTTTGACCGAAGTGAACAATTTAAAATTCAAAAGCTCCAAAACCCATGAACTTGCAAAGATAATGAAATGAGCGACCAAGTGACCGAACTATCAGTCCCAACAAGTTTGTGGTCGTTGTAGAAGCTCTAAACACTGAAAATATAGCATACCAAAAAATTAAGTAAACTTAACTATCATCTTGTGATTAATGAAATTATTTATGTAGGATTTTTTTTATATCCATTTGTAAATATGAATGAAGCCTCAAAGGGTGACATGAATATTGATAATCAAGGTCTTAGTTCTTGTATTATACCACCAGTCTATGTGTTGGGTTTTAGCAAAATGTGATTGGGAACGAGAAGAAAAAATGGAAAATGAGGGATCAAATTTTGGAGGCAAAATGAAAAGTCATTTGCAAAGTGCATAATGAAAAGTCATTTGCAAAGTGCAAAGGAAAAGTAATTTCTTCCATATTGGTAGAAGAAAGGAAATTGTTATCCTTATATTACGAACACTTCCTTTACTCCTTAAAGGGTTAAGAATAAGGTGCCCGCTCACGCTGTTTTTGTCGCTCGCTTGGCCTCGATTTTGGATTTGATTTGGATTAGGATTTAACAAATGATGTGATTGATTGATAAATTTATGTCTTGTTAATCGAATAAATCATGTTTAATCAATTTCTTTTCTCTTATAAATTAATTCATAATGTTAGTTAAATAACATAATAAATTTTGGTGCAAAAGAATTTATTTGAATTTCACGTGCAACATTAATAACGATATGAAGAGACTTGTTCCTTCCGAAAAAGTCGTTATTTTTCCCAAAAGACACAACTTTCTGGAAAAAAATAGGTTCTCAACAGACAGACACATTTCTTGCTGAAAATGGCAATAAAAAGGAGGCCTTTTTTGTTTTTTCGAACACTACAAAATTTTCTTCTCTGCATACATTTTCTCTCTTAAACAAAATTGATGATCGATTGAGTCTATGTATGGTCTTGTTACTGCTCTTATGTTCACTGATGTTATTAAAGTTTGAGGTACCGCTAATTCTTTAACAGGTTAATCTGTTTTACCTTGTGAGAAATTAATTTGCAATCACGGGTACAGTGAGAGGATTAAATTTCTTAATGAAACACAGTGATTTCTGTAGACTCAGATTAAAAGTTCTCTTTCTATTTCATCTTATTTTTGTTTCTGTAATTTTTGACTAATCTTAATACAAGAAGAGATAACAATCTTATGAAATTTATTAGTTTCTGCATTTGCGGTTTCTGGAGATTAAAACCTTTATGGTTTTCTACTTGTTTAAATTTTTAAAATTCATTTGATTAACGATTAAAAGGACATAAAAATTCTATCCTTAAATCAGAAACAGATTGTGTAAGGATTTATTCTTTACTATTAGTATTTCACATACTAAAGTTGTCAGTAATTTGTGACATAAAAATGCCTAATTCAAGTCAACTAAAAGTTGGAATAGTGAGTGCTTCAACAACATGGGTTGCACACAATCGTTCAACAACTCCCTAGCACCGGCTGAGAAACCTGCAAAGTTTTCTGTAGTCAACTTCAAGAGATGGCAGCAGAAGATGTTCTCCATCTCACTATGTTGAGTCTGCAGAGTTTCAATAATGAGAATGTTCCTGTTATGTCTAATGAAACTCAGCCTGAAGAACGATTCTTGGTAACAGAAGCATGAACACGCTCAGATTTTTGGTGTAAAAATTATATTTTGAGTACATTGTTACAGTAATGTCAAAAATCTCAAAAGAACTCTGGGATGCTTTAGAAAAGAAGTACAAAACACAGAATGCCGAAATGAAGAAGTTTATTGTGGAAAAAATTCTAGACTATAAGATGATAGACAGTAACATCTTCGTCACTAAAATTCAAGAACTGCAGGTCATAATCCATTATCTCCTTGTTGAAGGTATAAATTTATTTAATGCCTATGCTGAAAATATTAAGTTTATTCTTAATACTCACATAATCTTTAATGTAGGATTGGTTATGAATGATGTTTTTGAAGTGGCAACCATAATTGAGAAATTACCTCCATTGTGGAAGGACTTCAAAAACTACATGAAACATACACGCAAGGATATTACTATTAAAGATCTCATAGTAAGGATGAATATCAAATAGGCTACACAAAAGAGTTCACTTGGTAATTCAACAATATCTAGAGTAAATATTGTTGAAGAAGATCTCAAAAAATGAAAGAAAAGAAAGAAAGCATCTGATTCAAAACCAATCCTCCTAAGAAGAAATTAATTGGAAGCTGCTTCAATTATCAAAAATGTGGTGATAGGGCTACTGAATGTCGGGGTCCCAAAAAGAACAAGAAGTAAGGATCAAGCAAACTTGGTTGAATCCAAAGGATTTATGGACGATCGCTGTGCAATATTTTCATAATGTAACTTGGTTGGAAATCCAAGATAATGGTGGATAGATTTTAGTGCATCATGTCATGTTTGTGCCAACAAACAATTATTTTCATCATATACTCCAGCACCTACAGATGAGAATTTGTTTATGGATTCCCCTGTTTTAAAGGTGGAAGAAACTGGTAAGATCCTACTAAAGATAACATCAGGAAAAGTGGTGACTATGAACAAAGTCTCGTATGTTCTGAAATTGCGAAAGAACTTAGTTTCTATTCCAGTTCTGACTAAGAATGGATTTAAACGTGTATTTGTTTCTTATAAAGTAGTAGTAAGTAAGAATGAAATGTATGTAGGAAAAAGTATCTTAGTAATTGCAATTGATATGAATAAAATTTTTGCTTCTTCTTACTAGCTTGACTATAAATCTTTATGGCATGAACGTTTGGGACACGTGATATACCGTGGTTTCACGGTATTATTAATATTTTTTCCTTAAGTTTAGTGTGTACAAAAGCCTTTTTGTGCTAATTTTTATGTAAGTTTCTCTTTATTTGCAGGAAATCTGTCTAAAAGAATAATGTGGAGGTTTTTGAGCGAGAAATACAAAAGAGTACCACCTACGGAGCTTGTGATGGTTCGTCATGCCCGTGACGGTCCGTAGGTGGCATCGTAGTGCAACTGCTGAAGGAATATGGGGAACTTTGACCAAGTGTGGGGTTACGGAGTGCGTGACGGACCGTCATAGCCATGATGGTCTATCCTGCTGGTTCTTCATGAAGTTCAGAGAATTAGTCCAGTACACAAATTCCAAGAGTTTAAGTGTTTTGGAACGGAGACCCTCGACGGACCGTTGTGCTTGTGATGATCCATCATATCTGCTGTCGAGGTTAATGAAGAGAGCAGCAAAAGAAATTGTACTAGTATGGGACGACGGAGTCTATGACGGTCCGTCTTGACCACGATGATCCGTCGCGAGGTACGTCGACCCAGCCACGTTTTAACAGATTTCTAGGTAATAGAGTCCTTATTTAATTAAGGTTTTATTGTTTTTATAAATAGTCCAAAAAACCTCGTTTTTGACGTTAGACCCTGGATTATTTTTAGACTTTTTGTTAGACCCTGGATTATTTTTAGACTATTTGTTAGACTCTTGATTATTTTTTAGACCTTTTGCGAGACTCTTGAATATTTTGAGACTCCTGTAATTGAGTGTTAACGATTTTTGTTGATTAATCAAGCGAACTTTCGAATTTTACTCTTTCTCATTGAAGTAAGTACATGAATTCTTATACCATATATTTGAATATTGTGATTATGTCTATGGGTAACTAAAATCCATAACTAGGGTTGTGGGAACCATAGGCGAATAATGAGGTAAAACCTAACTAAAATAGTAACTCTAGAATAGTGTCTTTCATATATTGATAATTCTTTCTCTTAGAAGTCTTTTTAACGGATGACCAACGTTAGAACTCGTCTAAATGCTACTTGCCGGACCAAGGAGGTAGATTATAGGAAAAGAATTATCAACATAGATTTAGTGTATACTATCTAATAGGCTAGTATTGATTGGTACGAGGTAATAACTTAGTCAAATATTGAATATGATGCTTAATATGAGGTAAACATAGGGTTAGTATAGCAACACATGTAGCCGGACCAAGGTGCGAAGTGAAATTTTCTAGATGTCGAATCAAGGATTTAGAAATACATAACTTATCACTTTGCATGCAAGATACTAGGAAAGAATTGTTATAGTTAGAATTATCAAGTTATGAACCTGTGGGGAACACGTAAACCCTAGTTACTTTGATTAATTGATTAAACTCCAACATTCGAAGCTGTTAGTTGTCTCCTTTAATTTCACAAGTGATTTTTGGTGATTAATCAAGCAAATTTTCGGACTTTATTCTTTCTCATTGAAGTAAGTACATGAATTCTTGTTTAACATATTTGAATATTGTGTTTATGGCTATGAGGAACTAAACTCCATAACTAGGGTTGTGGGAACCATAGGCAAATAATGAGATAAACCCTAGCTAAAATAACAATTCTAGAATCATGTCTTGCATGTATTAATAATTCTTTCGCTTAGAAGTCTTTTTAACGGATGGCCAACGTTAGAACTCGCCTTAATGCTACTTGCCGGACCAAGGAGGTAGATAATAGGAAAAGAATTATTAACATAGATTTAGTGTATACTATCTAATAGGCTAGTATTGATTGGTACAAGGTAATAACTTAGTCAAATATTGAATACGATGCTTAATATGAGGTAAGGATAAGGGTTAGGAAAGCAACACACGTAGCCGGAC